CATATACTTTTGTAAATCATTTAATGGTTTACTAAGCGATCGAAACACCCGTTTCCCCATAAAAGACGACAATTCAAAACCGCTCAACAGATTCATGGAGTCTTTGCTGAGATATAGCGACCCGTTGTCACTCATCTGGTCCTGAAATCTCTGCAAATGATTCTGAGTGTTGTCGCGCACCTCATCCAACCACTGCTGTTTGGCTGCTGTCCGACGACTCACTTCCGTCTTCTCCGTCTCCTCAGACGTCTTCACATGAAATACAAGACAAATGCAAACCATTAACTCATTGAATACTTATCAATATAACCGTAAGTATAATATCACTGCAAAGACTGATCAATAAATTCGTGAACTAGTGATCAATAACTGCTATATTAATGAAAACTATTTATAAAAACTTTTAAACACTTTTGAATCTCTTTGATAAGTCTTGAGTAGTAATATCCGGTTAAGACATACATTAGAGGATCCATTGGAAGCGATGTTTGTGAGAATGAGGTCTCCGTTTGGGTTAGTCTTGAGTTTGTTCTTCACTTTGGAGATCTCTCTGAGTGGCCACAGATTGAGCGCACACTTGGTCTGAGTCTCCAGTGATTTGTTGTCAATGAGTCCCAAATACTTGAAGAACTGGTCATCACTGATGAGGTCGGACTCGGGTTCGCGTAACTCGCGAACCACTGGTGTCTGGATCTGTTGAACGCCATTCTTGTGGACAATTTGGTACACTTTTCCGGTCTTCTGTGACACCAGATATCGGGTTTTGGTGGCAGTGGTGGGCGTCGTGTCCGCTGCGGCCGATGAGCTCTTCCTCAGGGATTGCCTGTTCTTCTCACTCATGAGTCGATACACCACGTGAGGAGTGTCGGAGGGTTTGGCGACTGAGTTGTGGTCATTGTCTTCGGCACTCAATCCATACAATCGCCTCATTGTCCGCCAATTGTCTGCAAATCACACATCAATTGAGTCACTGTTTTGAAGGCATTTTGCGAGTGATTTGAGGGCCCATTGAGTCAGTGCTAAGCACTCGGGGGACCGTCCATGAAGTGCGGCCTCTCTTTGACCTCAATTCACATCATATCCTATTAACCCAATTGTCGGTCCACTCGACCATTGCTTACCTCCCGGGCCTCCCGTTTCCTGTCCATACCCTCCGTCAGTCATCCCCACAACGATTAGACTAAGAGGTGACAAATTAGTCTCATTTGCATATTCAATATACGAGTACCTTGGTCCTTTTGGCTCTATATGAGTATGTTTGAGTCCAATTGAAATTGTCGCTAATTTAATGGTCGCTATAAATATTAATCAAATATGAAATCAAATTATATTTTAAATTCAATTCATTTGTATGAGTCATGTGACCACACAATACACCAATACAATGGCTCACCAATTATAAAGGGGGCGGTCATTGGGTATAGTAGGCGTTCCTTATATTTAATTTATTTATGGGTAGGGGTATGGCTGCCTATTATAAGGGTCCTTTATTTAACAATCTTTATGATACCTGTATAATATATACCACTTATAGTTAGGGCATATTTATAGCAACATTGAGACAGGTGAAGTCAAGTTAAATTGAAAGTCAGTTATGGTAGTGGCCCCCACAAAATGGCATGTCACATTTGTGGTGAACCATGACCTCAATTTGTTCAACGTATTATAAAATGTGTAGACCATTTTAAATTAACAAAATTATACTGCGCATTTGGTATAATGGACAGCTGATTTTATACTACTACTGTATTGTAATAAATTATAAATTTTGAATTTTTAAAAATAAAACAAACTCATGGATTTAATTACCTGTATTTTTAAAAATTCAAATGGAATATTTTGGCGTAATTTATGTATTTTTACATTATTTATGGAATATAAGGTTATTCTAACAACCTTACATATCAGATGTCCTAATAACGTTATAAGAAAATTATAAATTAGCCTTACTAGTTAATTAAATTAGGTAGCTAATATAAATTTAGCTTATTAAAGACATTTAGAGCCCTAATAGATTATAGTGCCCTATATCAAGATGAGATTTTTAAATAAAAATTATGTAATAAATAGTCATAACAGATGTGGGACGACATTCTAAGTATTAAAATAGCACAGAAAAATGATTACCAAAAAATGACCTTGTTAGTAAAATTACACAAAAATTAGAAAAAATCCAATGAATATCGTGGGACTAAAATGAGTGGAAATTTGCCTCAAAATACAAATTACGGTTATATTGAAGACGTCATATAAATGCCAATGAATTGTGTGAATGGCTGTTGTCGTGACATCTGTTGGCTATTAGTATTCAAATGAATTTAAAAGTTCATATCATATTAGAAACTCAAACTTTGAATGTGATGTTAAAAATGATTTTAATTTTCTCACATAAGATACAATTAAATAGTACATAAAAAGTTATGATTTCGAGGCATATATTGATAGTTAGTGTCAAATATATAGTAAATTTCATTACAAATATTTTCAAAAATATACACAATATATGAAAACATAGAGAATATTCTCGCGAAACCACTATTCCTTGGATTCAGCGATGAGTTGTTGGATGCGGTGAACGGCCTGTACTTTACTGTCACTTCTCTTCATTCTGTGGGAAATGTCTTTATATTTGTCTCTAAGACTCGAGTCGTCCAACAACTGGTCGATGGCATGAGAGAGTTGTGACTGAGAGCAGAGGAATGGGTCCAACCGGACTCCCAGGCCTTTCTCCACAATTCTCTGTGCGTTATCGAACTGATCGGTAAATACGGGCAAAACGATCATTGGTTTCCCGA